TGTTATTCACATTTTAACATCATTTTTTTGGATGGATAGTGAGGTAAACCTAAACCATTTTCATCCAGTAAGTGTTCATCTTGAAATAATACTAACAATATGAAAGTTGTTCTTACATCATTAACTTTATAAAAATCATTAAAGATTTCAAAGCAAAACGACGTGTACCACAACCTGAAGGGAGACATTTTTAGACAGTTTGGTTGTTGCTAAAAAGTATAATCAAATGACAGAAGTCGTAGTAGATTGTGCAGGGATTTTCAGCAAAATTTTAATAATTTAGCCTTAAAAAGCAAAAAACAATCTATGCAAAAAAATATCAAAATATTTGTTGACTACGTTTCGGTCGCATGACCTTCATCAGGAATTTTTTTAAACATGACATCACAAAGTACACCCCATTTAAAAACAGATTCATGAATTCATGACCAATCGCTGTAAAGATCCATTGATTAATAACAACCCGCAATAGGTACATCATCAACTTAAAAAACAAAAACAAACAAAAAATACCACTTTCATGTACATATACACATAAACATATCCTGTGCATACATACTAGCACATACATCAGGCCCAGATTGCATTATAACATCACATTAAATAAAGCTTCATCATTCATGCCATTAGGTGACAATGTCTGAAGGGTAAAGAGTCCGAAACAGTTCGCGTTGATGTAAGAGCAATTCAAAATCGCCACCACTAGGTGGCACATTAACCCTTTCAATACCACAAAACCGTAAGGTAGAAAAAAATTTGTTCCAAAAATGTAAAAGATTCTTTGGTACATGCTCGTTTTCAGACGGATACTCCTGATTCTTCTCAGAGATTACTTAGCCCTATACCAAATGGTAATTATCGTTGTGGTAATTGTGCTCAGTGCAATAATACATCAAAAACTTCTTTCTTTTGTCATCCAAGAACCGGTAAAAAATATAGAATTAACTCCGTTATTATCTGTGTTTCTACGCATGTTGTTTATTTGATTCGGTGTCCTTGTGGTTTAGGTTATGTTGGAAAACATCAACTTAAAGAATTAGTGAACACAAGAGTTCTATCAGGAGAAAAGATATGAACTATCCAGTTGCAGCTCATTTTCTTGCCTTAAATCATGATGTTTCTACCTTACGGTTTTGTGGTATTGAAAGGGTTAATGTGCCACCTAGAGGTGGCGATATTGAATTGCTCTTACATCAACGTGAACTGTTTTGGATCTTTACCCTTCAGACATTATCACCTAATGGCATGAATGATGAAGCTTTATTTAATGTGATGTTATAATGCAATCTGGGCCTGATGTATGTGCTAGTATGTATGTACAGGATATGTTTATGTGTACAATGTACATGAAAGTTTTTTTTTTTTTTTGAAGTTGATGATGTACCTATTGCGGGTTGTTATTAATCAATGGATCTTTACAGCGATTGGTCATGAATTCATGAATCTGTTTTTAAATGGGGTGTACTTTGTGATGTCATGTTTAAAAAA